CCGTCCTCCCCAGACCCCCTTCGCGTTGTGAACATCTCACGCCGGGCGGCTCTTTGCTATTTTCGGCCTCCGCCTGGCATCGCTCGGACATGTGCATTTGTTTCTCGGCGAGGACCATCGAGGAGCATCCTTGATCATTTGGCGAAAAACCCACACACGAAACTGAAAAAAAACAGGGAATGGACGTCCAAGCGATGGCGAGTCCGGAGGTCCTTGGCGGGCCTCGGGGCCGTCAAAAAGCGACGCAGCCCCAGATGCGTCCACGCCACCCGTTTCGGCACACCCTCACACGCTCCGTGGCCCCGTAGGGAGCTCCGCCCAAGGGCCCCGCTCGGTGCCGTTCGCGGGCGTCCCCGCCACCCATTTCGACACACCGCTCACCTCCCCCGGACCTGGCCCCCTCGGCCCTCCCCATCCCGAAGTCTCGGGAGTGGTGTTCTGGCACGGTTCGAGAACGTCAAGACGCAATAGCAGCGATGATTCGCGGGGCAAGCCCCAGGAGTGGTGTCCTGGCACAGCTCAGGATTTTCGAACGGTTGTTTTCCAACGGGCCATTTCTTTCAGTGAAGGGCCAAGCCTACCAGCTTTAGAAGACCAACATCTGCGGCCGGAGCCAAATACCGCTATCACGTCCTAGCCAACAGCGTCTATGCGCACATTGGTTGCCGTGACATCCATCGACACTTTCGGGGTGGATGCGTCCGTCTATGTTGCCTTCGGCGCGGTGCAAGATCGTAGAAAGGGTAGATCCGTCTACGGTCTGTTTTTGTTCCAGATCGGAGAAGAAAAACGCCCAAAGTTTGTGTTTATGCTTTTTCTGTTTCGGTGCTGGAGCAGGTCTTACATGGTGTTTCAAACTTCTGGGGGACTGTGGAAAAGAGGGTCCACGTGGTGCCGTTGCCGTGTGTCCTCGCCGCCCCTCTCGGCACACTCCTCACACGCTCCGTGGCTCTGGGGGGGTTGCTACACCCAGGGCCCCACGTGCCGGCCGCGGGCGTCCCGCGCCACCCTTGTTGGCACACCCGTCACGCGCTTCGTTGCCCCATGGGGAGCTTCACCGAAGGTCCCAGCTCCTCCTCCTCCTCCTCCTCCTCCTCCTCCTCGTCCTCTTCTTCCTCCTCCTCCTCCCTCTTCCTCCTCCTCCTCCTCCTACCTCTTCCTCCTCCTCCTCCCTCTTCCTCCTCCTCGCCCTCTTCCTCCTCCTCCTCCTGCTCCTCCTGCTCCTGCTCCTCCTCCTCCTCCTCCTCCTCATCCTCTTCCCCCTCCTCCTCCTCCTCCTCCTCCTCCTCCTCCTCCTCCTCCTCCTCCTCCTCCTCCTCCTCCTCCTCTCAATGGCACCGTTCGCATGCGACCCCGCGTCCCATGACGGCACACCCTTCACACGTTTCGTGGCCCCACAGGGCGTCTCACCGAACGTCCCAATGGCACCGTTCGCATGCGACCCCGCGTCCCACGTCGGCGCCCTTCACACGCTTCGGGGCCCCATGCACCCCCAGGACGAAAGTGTTTTCCTCCTGGACGCCCGGGACGACGGTTTGACGTCTTAAGCAGACGTGTATGAGATGACCGCCGTCGGATCCCATGAAGGTCGAGTGGATCCATTTGTGGTGTTGGTTTTTGTTTCGATGGATCCGGTTTTCGTCCGCGCGGATCCGATGTCGGATTTTCTGGATCCGCGTCCGGCCTCATTTGTTACGGCGGATCCGATTTTCTATTCCGTTAAATTTATTGTATGTCAAATTGAAATGGGGGGCCAGACGAAATCGGATCCGCGGACCCCAGAACCCACGGGGGAAGGGGGTCCAGTCATCAACGTCCCAGGATTGTTCCTGTGCTGTCTCGTGCACTCCTATCAACCTTCCGCGCGGAGGCCCCATTCAACATGAATGCATCGTTCTCCTCCTGGACGAGCTGCACGCAGCTCGTCCAGACGCCGTCCGTTCGGCAGCGCCGATGTTGTCTGTCGAACTCAGCATCGCAATTGCCACCTCAGGAGGAAAATCTCTTGTCCTGCGTAGGTAGGGAGCTCCACCGAAAGTCTCAGTGGCACCGTTCGCAGGCGCCTCCGCTGTCCATTTCGGCACACCGCTCACGTTCCGTGGCCACATAGGGAGCTCCACCGAAAGTCTCAGTGGCACCGTTCGCAGGTGCCTCTCCTGTGTGTTTTGGCACACCTCTCACACGCGTCGTGGCCACATAGGGAACTCGACCGAAGGTCCCAGTGGCATTGTTCGAATTCGGCCGCCACCCATTTCGGCACCCTCACACGTTTCGTGACTCCATAGGGAGCTCCAACCAAGGCCCCAGTGGCGTCTGTCGCCTGCGTCCCCCGTACCCAATGCGGCACACCCACGCACCCCACACGTTTCGTGCCCATGGGGAGCTCCACCCAAAGCTCCACAGTGCTCACATGCGTCCTCCGCACCCATTTTGGCCCCCTTCACACGGCTCGCCGCTACACAGGGAAGACCACCGAAGACGATACCCACATCTGCGGTGGCCCAGTATTTCAATACATGGCCCCCAGAAGTTCCGACCTTTTCCCCAGGGCCAGATTCTCATCCCGAGTCGTGTTTTGACGGTCCAGGGGCCTGGCGAGGACCCCCAGAGGCCGACAAGAGCAAACAATTGTCCGTCGTACTTTTTGCCGCGACGCGGGGAGGGGAGGAACGAGGAGGCGCACGAAGAACGGTTCACTGCAAGGGAAGGCAGCGAAGGGGAGGAGCGAGGAGCGAGGGGGGAGCGAGGAGGGAGGCGGGAGCGAGTGGGGGGGGGAGGGTGGGAAGCGAAGAGGCTCATTTTTTCCCAACCATCTTATGGTGTTGGGCCCTCGCTTTGAAAAGAGCGCCCCGCGCCCATCCCACATCATCCCGCTCCCTCTTCCCTCCTCCCTTCCTTGCCTCTGCCCTCCGTGGCCCCATTGGGCCATTGGGAGCTCCGCTTAAGGCCCCGAAGATTCCGTTCGCACGCGTCCCCGCCACAGATTTCGGCACACCCTTCACACGCTTCGTGGCCCCACAGGGAGCTTCGCACAAGTCTCCAATGGCGCTGTGCGCTCCTCATCTCCGCTGTCCATTCGGGCTCACCGCTCACACCCACCGTGGCCCCAACGAGAATGTCACCAGACGGACCCAGTGGCGCAGCTCGCATGCGTCTCCGTCGCATCTTTTCAGCACACCGCTCACACGCTCCGTGGCCTCCCTACTAGCAGGGAACCCACCCCAGGCCCCAGGGGTGCCGTTCACATGCGCCCCCGCGTCCTATTGCGGCACGCCCCTCGCACGCGTCGTGGCCTCGTAGGAAGTTCCACCCATAGCCCAAATGTTGCCGTCCGCATGCGTCCCCGTCACCCATTTCGGCACACCCATCACACGTTTCGTGGCAATTGAGGGGGCTCCACCAAAGGCCGTTGGCATGCTCGTCACAACATTCGCACGTTTGGCCTCACAGCGAGCTCCACCCAAGGCCCCAGCGGTGGCGGTCGCATGCATCCCCGCCGCCCATTTCGGCACACCCCTCACACGTTTCATGGCCCCATCAAGAGCTCGACCCATGGACCCACTGGTGCCGTTCGCATTCATAGGGGGCTCCGCCCAAGGCCCCAGCGGTGCTGTTCCCATGCGATCCCACCACCCATCTCGTCACACCACTCACACGTTTCGCCGCCCCATAGTGAACTCCACCCAAGGCCCCAGCGGTGCCGTTCGCACGCGTCCCCGCCGCCCATTCCGGTACACCCTTCACACGCTCCGTGGCCCCATGGGAAGCCCCACCGCAGGCCCAACGTTCGCTCGCGCGGGCCACCCACTTCGGCAGACAAATCGCATGCGTCCCCGTCACCCATTTCGACGCACCCCTCACACTCTTCATGGCCCACGGGCAACTCAAAACAAGTCTCCAACAGTGCCGTTCGTTCTCACCCCCGCTCCATTTCGGCACCCCCTCACACGTCTCGTGGCCCCATAGAGAGTGTCACCAACATGCCCCACTAGTGCCGTTCGCACATGTCCCCGTCACCAATTTCGGCACACCCCTCACATGTTTCGTGGCCCCACGGGGCGCTTCACCGAAGGTTCCAGTGGCGCAGCTGGACTGCGTCCCTGCCGCGAGAGCTCCACTCAGGGCCCCAGCGGTGCGTCCCCGGCACCCATATCGACACACCCCTCACACGTTCTGTGGCTTCATAGAGAACCCCACCGGAGGCCCCAGTTGCACAGCTCCTGTGCGCCCCCCGCCACCACCGCCACGGCACCCCCTCACACGTTGCACGGCCCCAGAAGGAGCTTCACCAAAAACGGTACAGTGGAGGCCCATGCCAAGGAACACCCCGCTTGCCTCCAGGGTGCCCTGGGTTTCTAGGGTTTGGATGGTCCTGCGATGGAAAGCGTAGCGCCCCCACACACAGAATATCCATGGACGCCCTGGGGTCTCAGGGTTGGGTTTCTTGTGGAAGGTTTCTTGTGGTTGGGCCCCTACTGTAACCTCCACGCGGTATTCACAATAGTGGATGATTACTTTGGGTTTCTTGATAAGCGTGGGGGGGCCCCCCCCCCGACGAGGGCCAACCTCGCCTCGTCGTCGCGCCGCGACGGGGGTCGGAGCGCCTTCGGCGCGCGATGGCTGCCCCGCGACGGGGGTCGATGTGGTGCTGTCGGCGGGGGTGACGCCCCCCCCGACGCTTATTATTGATAAGCGTCGGGGGGGGCGTCACCCCCGCCGACAGTGGGTATGGCAGCAGCGCGCCGTTCGCATTGGATGTCGCGGCGTTGTCGTTGGCTGACCGTCGAGCAGTTTCCTCTCTCAGTTCGCGCGTCGTTTGGCGGTCCCATTGGTCTAAAGTTCCTCATGTGGGGGGCGGGGAGCGTTTTTCATGTGTTCAATTAAGAAACTTTGAGTAGGAAGGGCTCACCGAGAGGGAAGGGCAGCGAGGCCGAGAGAGGAGGGGCCGGGGCAGGCAGGCAGGCTGGCGGCGCACGCGCGCGCGGGCTTCGCCCGAAGAGGCCGGGCTGAAGATCTCCATGAGCTGCCAGAGAAACCCCGACGGCTCCCCGCCGCCGCCAGCGTTCGGGCGGGTTTAGGACAGCAGGGCTCATTTCGATTCCTCCGGATTGATCCGCTTCGAGTTCGATGGCTTCCGACTCCACTTCGATTCGGCTTGGGATTCCGATGTGGGTTCCCAATTTTTCATGGAGGCATGCTAGCCTGCCGATTTTCGCAGATTCGATTCTTCCCGACTCGGCTGCCGATTTCCGCCGATCCGATTAATTTCGATCGCCGATCCGACTTATCGATTCGACTCTGGGCTCTCCTGGGACAGTTCGGGCGGGCGCTCAGGAGGACTATTTGAATGGGGGGAAGGAAAGGGCCCGAAAGGGGCCCCTTCAGGGCCGCCCTCCCGGAGCCAATAGGAGTCCAAAGGGGGCCCTCAAGGGATCGATCAGGGGCCCTGGGGCCCAAACGGACTCGACGCGGATAGGGGACCGACGGGACAGACAAATCATGGGAGGAAAAGATACCTGCACAGGTACCCTTCCCTAGTTTTCCACTCTTGGTCGGCCTCCTGGGAGGCTCTCGTCGGCACCGCCCGGTCCGCCTCGAGATCCCGGTCGCAGCGCAACGCTGCAGCAAGGATTGGCGGTATCGGTACCTTTTGGTTTCCTCAAGTCGGGCGAAGCGAACTATGCACATGCACCGATCCTGGCAAGGCCCGTCCTTGACCCAGGATCGGTGCATGTACCTTCCTGGCCAGGGTAGGAGGGCGTATGCGCCGATCCTGGGCTCAGGATGGGCCTGGCCAGAGTCGGTGTATATGTGCACAGTTCTCTTTCCTCTGTCAAGGCGAGGCCCCGTGAAGGTGCAGCAGCAGACCCCCCCCCCATTTGGGCGTCGTTCCTCGCAGTGGCGGGGCCAGGGCGAGGGAGAGAGCGGGGCGCCGCGGGTGGCCCGCATCCCCTTGGCCCCCTCCGCTTCCCCTCCTCCCGCCTCGCCTCGCTCCCGTCCTCCGCCCCCCCTTTCTCCCCCTCCCCTCGCACTCCTCGTCCTCGTTCCGCCCTCTTCCCTCCTGCTCTCCTGCTCCTCCGCCCTCCCCCCTTGTGCTCCCTCCTCCTTTTTCCTGTCCCCCTCCTCCCCCATACCCCCTCTCAGCCTCCCCGTCCTCCGCCTCTCTCCATGCCCCTGACCCCCCCTCGTTCTCCTTCCCAGCTCCCTCCCTCTTTGCCAATCCCTGCCTCTCCCCAGCCCCTCATCCACACCTCCCTCCCCTCGTTCTCCCCCCGGTCCTCATTTGGTTCCCTCCTCTACCCCCCTTCCTCCTCCAGCTCGTTATCTTGTTCCCCTTTCTTTAGTCGCTCTACTCTCTCCTCGTCCCGTCCTCTTCCGCCTTCTCCTCTTCCTCATTATTCTCGTCCTTCTCATAATCCGTTCCCTCTTCAGCCTCTTCGCCCTTCACCTCTCTTCGTCGCCCTCTGCCTCCGCCTCCTGCCCATGCGCCTCCTCACCCTCATGTTTTAGTTCATGCCTCCATGCTCCGACCCTTGTCCTCGATCTGGACGACCTCCTCCCCTCCTTTTTCATCCTGTACCCTCGTCCGCTTCTGCCGCAAGCCTTTCGTGGCACCTGCTCCGCTTGGAAGTCCAAGCCCAGGCTCCGCCAACATCACTGCGCGCTTCTTCAACTCCTGTGACGCTCCCATGACGAACTTCGTGTTCGAGGCGGCGGTGCCGAAGTACGTCCGCCTGGAGATGAAGCCGGTGGGCGGGGAGGGGCGGGGCAGCGGCCGGACGGTAGCGGGAATCGTTCCTTTTCAAGAGTTGTGCAGCAGCCAGTGGTTGAGCAACAGGTCTTAGTGGTTGACAAACAACTCAACAACATTGTTGATGTGGATGGTGAGGCGAGGAGGTTGTCCATTCTGCCTGGCTCCTGCTCTCCAACCGACTTGTGCTAGTATGGACTTCAAGTTTTCTGCGCCAGTAGATGTGGCAGGTGGTGCGACGCAGTGGCCCTTTGAGGCCCATGGCTCAACTTGTTGAAATCATTACACCTCTTCCCTCTGGTGCTTGACGAACTGCGTGAGGAAAAGGCGAACGCTGGTGCTCGCGAACTCTTGGGTCGCCCAGTGGTGCTCCTTTTCTGGAAGACGCCATAAACATAAATTGCTGGCGCTCCGCGCGGATTTCTTGGATCTGCGCTGGACCCCGGAGCACGCCAGGGGCGGCGCCGGAGGCGCTGCGGGGGGGTCCCAGCGCGGATCCAAGAAATCCGCGCGGAGCGCCAAAAGTTAATTTTTGTTGCGTTTTTTCTCCGCTTATCGGGGGCCATATGGGCCGTGGTATTTGACCCGCTGAGCATGTATATTTCGCGTGAGCTGCGATTGCTCCATCAAGGGCTCTGTTCCGGGCCTGTGCTGACGCCTTGGGGAAGTGGCTCGGCTCGCCCCGCGATGCCCTGCCGCTCTCGCCCCCCTCGCGCGTGGCGGCTGCACCGTCTCTCGCAGGGCTGAAACTTCGGGCGACGAAGCACGAAACCGAACCTGTGCGACCGCGGCCGACTGCCAGCATGGATTCGAGGGCGGGGAAACCACACGGATCCGCGTTTCCTGAATGGCGTTGGACGTTTACGAAGCAGCATTGCCCTTCTTGATTCCTTTTCTGGGTGTGTTTACTAAACGACTTCGCGTGTCGGGGTGATTGTTGTGAGGGTGGATTTTCTGCTCTCTATTGATTGGGGCGCGGGGCTCAGCGACGGGCCCCGTTCCCACACAGGAAGCGTCAGCATGATGTTGCAACCTACCGTTTAGCTTGATTTCGCCAGAATGAATTTCGAGCACCAGGAAAGTACTGAGCGGGAGGGTTTGCACATGTCGGGCTCTGGGAAGCGATACTCGCTCGGCACTGTTTCGATATTATTCTGGGGCCTCGAAGTTATTTCTAGGAGTTGGGTCTTCAGTGCGATGGGGGCAACACACGACGGGCCCCGTTCCCACACAGAATGGGCGCGCGTTCCGTCGCAAAATCACGCGGCACTGGCCTCGTGCTTCGGGGGTACATGGCTTCGGTAGCCAATCATGGGAGCCTGGTGCACCCTCTTAATTCCGTCTTGAACGTCGGCCAGCGCTTGGGAGTCGACTGGATTAGGGCCGATTTGGCGTCGATCTAGCGTCGATCTAGCGTCGACTTCGTCGATTCGCAGGAGCCGACAGGGTGGTATGGGAGGCCCCATGATTTGCCACCGAAGAGTGGTGCTGTGGACGCTGAGGGGCCCAGGAGGCTCTCCGTCGTCTGCGCCTCGCCGGCGGTGCTTTCGAGGGCCGCCCGCACGAGCGGCGGCAGCGCCTCGGGTGGGCGCCGTGTGCGACTGCACGAGGGGCATTCCGAGCACACGTGGGGTCGGGGGATCGCGCTGCAGCGGCGGCGCATTGGTGCTGCGGCTCAATGTGAAGCCCGATTTTCTCCACGCCGACGGCGGCGATGCACCGCCGAAGCATCGCCGATGCCTTGGCGATGCGGCGCAAGCCTCGGACCCCTCCGCTTGGACCCCATCTGGGAGGCCCCCCAGGCAGGCCGTGTCCGTGCGATCGCTTCTTTGGATACGTTTTGTCCCCGCTCTGGGTATATCCAGGGATGCGGAGGCGGGGGGGGGGGTTGTCGCCCCTTGGCGACTGTTGTTTTGGGCTATCCTGGGCAGGCGGGGACCGCGTGGGAGGTCCTCACGCCTTTCGCGATAAGTTGCCCTGAAGGGCAAGAACTGCATGCAGCTCCTGTGTACCTTCGCCACATGGGGCTTTATGCACTCTGGGAATTCCAACGTCTTGACATTCTGCAACTTCGCGGACGGCAAGGGCATACCATGCAGGATGGTTTGGGGTGAGTTGTGGTTTCCGAGGAGGAAACCGTATGAGAACACCCCGCATCCAAGTTTTTGGAGTGAAGCCACGTACCGGTATTCCTCGTTGCCAAAGCATCAGTAGAGGCGTTGGGTCCCATGGGCTCAGATGGGAACCCATAATTAAATGGGCCATCCGGAAGATGTATAGTGCATGGGTGTGCTTATGCCGCTGATCTTTTTTGGACGAGTGATGTTTTGCAATGTGCTCTCTGCGAGATTGTCAGAGCACACGCCTCACGCGCTCGCGTGCCATGGAGTATCCAGGGCCTCAAAGCTAACAGCATAGCCCTCCTTACCAGTGGGCCATTCACGACATCCTCAGCTGAGTGATGGGGTCCCCCAGAGCCCTGATGTTTCCCAGGGGCTGTTACGTAATGCCCTCCTGAGATGCATCCTCCGTTCCCATGGTGTTTACCAGAGCTTCTCATTTGATTTTTCAAATGCTTGGCTGCTCTTGCCAGGGTGAGCGTAAGGGCGTAACGTGTGACCCCGTTGCTGGTTTTGAATTGCAGCCGTCGCGTCACAGAGATAATCGTGCAGCTGATGTATGGCACTGTGGATTGTGTTGAGCCGAACCTCTGATAGATTTTCCCTTGACTCGTAGTTACCTTCATGATGCGCAGGTTAGTTTGCGTTTCTTCATTACTTTACGCAAGCATCATTCCCCAACGAGTGCTCGCTTTTGCAAGGGCTCTTACTGGCGTTGAGAAGTAGTTGGGTGGGTCTGTCGGGTTTCGCTTGCTGCCCTGTTAGTCGCGTGTCGCTGGCGCCTTTGGGGCGCCCCGTGTGTTGGGGTGGGTCTGTCGGGGTGTTGCCTGGTGGCCGGTCTGTGGTTAGCCATAGGCGCGGCTTCTGTTGGGTTTCTCGGGGCATCTTGGGTGCCCTCGGGCGTCCCAGAAAAACAGGCGGGTTGCAGCCCGATCATCACCCCTGTTTGCCCGTAGTGGGCCAGGGGGGGACAAAGTTGCGCCTCGTCGCCATGTTTTCTCACCCCTTGCGGTGGCCCGGCACGTACACCGCGTGCGCCTGGGCAGGTGGGGTCCCCTGCGGGGGGCTCATGGTGATTTCACACCCATACTTCCCACGGTAAGGGTGCCCCGCCCTGGCGTGCGTGGGGGTGCGCGGTCGCCCGAGGGAGTGGCGCCCATAGGGGGCCTTGTCGGGGCGGCACGCCGAGTGGCGTGTCGCCGGGTGAGGGCAGTGCGCCCGCCGCCTCGGAATTGTCAGCACGCGCGGCGCGCCCAGGGGCGCGCTGCGCGCGGAGCGCCAAACTGCGTGTCGCCTGATCCGCTCTTGGTGGTTTGGCCAGGAGGGTGAACGTCTTAATGATGGAGGGGTTCATTTGGCGGTATCGCGCTTTCTCGTGTTCCACAAGCTCCTTGGCGGGCTCCACGGGTGGGCCTCCTGTCCCTCGTAGCCGCGCTGCTCATCGCGTTCAGGGGGTGCTTCTTTCAAATCACTCCTGCGATGGCGGAGATCCTGGAGATCCTCCTCCTCCTCCCGTGATGGGCGCTCCTGGGGGGACAGGACGGTGCCGACAAAGTTTCGTGGAAACGTGAAGACTCGAGTGTCATAGGTTCGCGTCGTGCCGACCGGCGGCGATCATAGCGCGCGCGTTTAAGGATGAACGCCGCCCGTGGCCCAGAATCGGCCCGTCGTGGAACGATCTGGCGTTAATGGAGCGGCCGATCGTCCAAGTTTCAACGATGCCCGCGGTGTCAGCAACCAGCGCCGGGGTCGACACGACGCGAACCTGTCGTAAGCCGGAATTCAGGTTTGCCGACGGTTTCTGACGAGCGCGTCTTGGATTTTAATGGGCCAGTGTCCGTGGGATGTCAGCAGCGCGTCAAATTTCAGACCGGGTTTCGTCATTTTCATGATGGCCCCGACCCCCGTAGATACCCGAGTCCTTCGTTTCCCCGAAAGTTGGGGCAGAGGGGGGGGGATGCGAGGGAGGAGGATATTGAAACAGAGCTGATTCAAGCCATCGAAGCCGCACTGGTGGGGTCCAGCGAGAAAACCAGCTTGCCTGGTCCGAGTTGGCTGCCTGCTGGCACTGAGTGGCGCAGAGGAGACCTCCCGTGCGCCGCCGGCCCGAGGCAAGCGGCGGAGAATGCAGGATTGGGAGGGAGAGATTATTGATAATCTCCGGAATTTAGGTAGGGATGGATGAGGAATGAAGGGAGGAGGCACCCATAGCCCCCGCCCCCTCCCTTTCGGTAGTGGTGTCTGTGTGTACGTGTGTTTTTGTGCTTGTATTTGTGTTTGTGCTTGTGCTTGTGTTTGTGTTTGTGTGCGTGTGTGTGTGTGTGGGTGGCTCGCCGCACATCCCCTCGCCCCGCCGACGGGAAAGAAAACCCTGTCAGACTTTGAAGTTCAACGCGCCCCGTTCGGCGCCGGGGCCCCGGTGCATGTCGTCGACGTGCCCACGGCAGGACAGCTTCGGACAGGTCGCCGCGTTTTTCGGGGCTTGGGCTGCCAGGCGATGCCCCGATGGGCCGCGCGCCCTGGTGGGGTCCGCGGCGGGTCAGCGCGCGTCCGCGCCCGCAAAGTCCCGGATTCCGTGGGCAGAGGCGGGACGAGCACGCAGCAGGAAACAGCAGGGCAATCGTGAGGAGGAGGAGGAGGAGGAGGAGGACGACGAGGAGGACGAGGAGGACGAGGACGAAGAGGAGGAGGAGGAGGAGGGAGGAGGAGGAGGAGGAGGAGGAGGAGGAGAAGAAGAAGAGGGGGAGGAGGAGAAAAGGAGGATGATAATAATGGGGTGAGGAGGAGGAGGAGGAGGAGGAGGAGGAGGAGGGAGGAGGAGGAGAGGAGCGGAGGCGGAGGCGGAGGAGGAGGAGGAGGAGGAGGAGGAGGAGGAGAGGAGGAGGAGGAGGAGGATAGGAGGAGGCGAGGAGGAGGAGGAGAGGAGGAGGGGAGGAGGAGCAGAGCAGGAGCAGGAGCAGGAGGAGCGAGGAGGAGAGGAGGGAGGAGGAGGAGGAGGAGGAGGAGGAGGAGGAGGGAGGAGGAGAAGGAGGAGAGGAGGAGGAGGAGGAGGAGGAGGAGGAGGAGGAGGAGGAGGAGGAGGAGGAGGGAGGGGGGAGGGGGAGGGGGAGGCGGAGGAGGAGAAAGAAGATGAGAAAGAGGAAGAGAAAGAGGAGGAGGAGGAGGAGGAACAGGAGGAGGAAGAGGAGGAGGAAAAGGAGGAGGAGGAGGACGTACGGAGGGCGAGCAGCCAGAAGCCGAGGGAGGAGGGGCCGGAATGGTGCGTCTCAGGGCCACCGAGCCGCAGGAGAAGCAGCAGCAGGAGGAAAGGGGATGGGCAGGCTACCGGACAGATGCTCCCTCCGCACAGCAACAGCGTCACGCAGAGCATGGTCTCCCGCGGGGCCGAGCGACACGCGAGTCAATGTTGTTCTTTCGCGCTTGTCACACGACTCATGCTCCCTCCATGTTCTTCTCGGTCTCCTCCTCTTTATTTTTGGCCCCCATTGCTGCCGCTGCTGGTCCTCTGTCGTCACTGTTTCTTGTATGGTTCCGTCGAGTGCACCCTGGTGACACTCAATCAGTTGCTCGGCGCTGTTCTCAAGTCTGTGTGCCGCCGTCGCCTCAGTGAAGAGAGGACATGTTGCGCTCTTCCAGGGCGTGGATCACACTCGGTCCTTCGCCTTCTCAACGGGTGCCTCCGCTCTGTCGCTGTGGAGGATGGCAGGGCACGACCCGTCTGACGCGCGTTCGGAGGCTATCCCGGGGGTCTCTCTTGGCCGATTTTCGGTAGTTTCAGCGCCGCCTCAGATGTCTCTGAAACAATCTTGGGGTCTTCGCTGGGCCGTCTTAATGGCAATATTGGTGCCGTCGTGCGCCGTCATCGGGGCCTGTTAGGCCGTCGTGGGGCTTTCTCAGAGGCCTCCTGGGCTCCCTGACCGATTCGGGAACCCAGAGGAGTCGCCAGTGCAAGAATCACCCCAAAGGCATGTCTGAAGATTTGGGCTCTCGGGGGTCGGCTCGGGGGCTCGTTTGGGCGTCCTGGATGCGTCTTGGGTGCGTCTTGGGTCGCTTTGGGGCCATCACGGAGGTTAGTTGAGTCCGTCGCGGAGGCCGCTTAAGGTTATCATGCCTAGTTGGAGAGGCAATCTTGGTCGTGATGGAAGCCTTTTCGGGCAATCGTGGCCTTCTTGGAGGCCCCATGGAGCCTCCACTTTGGGGGACGTTCCGACGAGTGTTGTATATTTCTGCGTTTGCCTGATCCGCCGCCTCCTTGGCTCAAGGCGGCGTCGCCTCATTCTCTTGTACCGAGAGTGGTACACGATTTGAGGTGGTCCGGAGGAGAAAAGGCTTTTCCTCCTCCCGTCCCACAACCGCCATCGCACCCTCTACTGCCACATCCTTTCCTGCCATTCGATGGTCACTTCGCTGTCGTAGCTGTTGCACCTGCGGCAGCTCTGCTCATCCTCTAGCTCCTCGTGCTAGCGACGGATTTCCTTTTGGGCGTCAGCCATGTACAATTACGAGGTGGAGGCATCGCGCACGACTTCGGGCGTCTCGGGGCGATGAGCCTCAACGGCGCCTTCGTGAACGCCTGGTCTGGGTTTCTTACTAAGCGTGGGGGGTACCTTCCGACGGGGGTCAACCTCGTCTCGTCGTCGCGCCGCGACGGGGGTCGGAGCGCCTTCAGCGCGCGGTGGCTGCCCGCGACTGGGGTCGATGTGGGGCTGTCGGCGGAGGTGACGCCCCTCCGACGCTTATTGAGAAACTCGGAATACCTGGCCATTGTCAAATACAACAAGGTCACCACTGCTACTCAGCCCGCTCCAACGAGGACACTTCACGCGCTAGGAACTTCTTCCATCTCAACGACGGTTCCCCCCACGATTTACTGCGCGCCATAGTCGCAACAGGCGCGGTCATGCGACCTTTTCGACTAGCAGCGGGCGCGATCACGCGACCTACGCTTCCACTCCCGATATCTTGGTGCGCCAGCTGGCGAATGTTTTTCAGGCTCCAGCTGATCGTGGACACGCGACGGGCCTCCTTTACCAACAGTCCGGCAACAAGCACCCTTTCTTACGGGCTAAAATGCGCCGGTCTCTTCGTCTGCGGCCTGACTGACGTCGCCATCTGCGTAATCATCGGGCGCGCGACGGGGACGAGCGGGCCGCCAGACCCGCGGCCTGGCGTGGGACCTTGGTGGGGGCATGGACGTGGGCTCGGAAGGTCCACCCTCGGTCGGATGTTCGCCCTGAGCGGATGGCCCTTGACAACGAGCTGCCGCCATCCATCGAGGACTTGAAGCACTGGCCCGTACGCTGGCCATGCGCATGCCATCATCCGTCATAACGTCAGCGCTGGGATATGCGGCGCGCGTAGCGGCCCCGTCACACGTTGGCTGCGCGACCTGTTCCATGAGACCGAGAGCTTCGAATATGAGCAACTACTAGACTACAGGGCGTCGAAGTCATGAGTTTCAAAGTCGGCCAACACGAAGGCATTGACAGTTTTTAGCCAGGTGGGAAATGCCTGCGATATACCTGCTTACATTCCCAGTCTGCAGGGCCCTGGCTGGGCAATTTCAGAAGTCTTTCGCAACGCTGGCTCTAGCCCTTGGTGTTCTTCACAACGCGCGGCACCTCTATGACAGCCGATCAACGGAATTCTGCCGCGGACCCAGCAATGGCATGATCTGCTGGTGGGGGCGCTGCATGCCAGGCAACCTCGCTCAATTTGTGCACCAATCATGCCGCGGCACTGCTCATTCAGCGGATGCCGCCATCCTGCAGACTGCAGATAGGCGCGAAGATGGGCCCCCCGCGCCGCGCCCAAGCCGACGGCGGGTTCGTGGACATTCGCGTCTACCACGCCACAGGCGCACCAGAACGCTCATGGATATTTGACCGCTTGTGGGAATAGCCATGCTCTCAGCCCTCCACCCCCCCACTGGGTTCCCAAGTGCCCAGTCGCTGCGCTCTGGGGAGATCAAACGGGCGACGACAATTGCGGGGCTGACTCCGATGCCACTTCGTCGGCTGGCGACGCGAAGCGGCTTCGCTGACCTGGCCAAGGAGGGGCGCGTTCAAAACTGATTTTGCATGGCGCAGTTCGCTGCAGAGATATATGGAGATAACAGGCGAGGAGGGCCCAGCGCAGAGCGCGACGCCTCACGCACGCACATCGACGGGCAAAGGGCGAGGCGGCGCCCTCGGGCGACGACGAATCAGGGGTAGTGGCATCGGGTCTTTCGCCGCAGCCTCGTCCGACGATGCCCGCGAAGAGCCGTTCGTCGGCGGGCGCCGCAGGGGCGAGGGCGGGGGCGCGCAGACTGGGGGGAGTCTGCCGGGCAAGGGCAAGAGTCGCCGCCGGGGCCTCGCTGGGGCAGCGCAGAGCGACGCAGCGCCGAAGCCGCGGGCCCACCCAGAATATAGCCCGCAAGCGCCCGCGCCCCGACGAACAGGGTAAAGGGCCCACCACCGACAGAAGATGCGCCGTTGGCTTGAGCAGTGGCTCATCTCTTCTTGCCTTCACGCAACCTCCAGGAGCAGGTGCGCTCTGCGGAGTCAGCCGCAAAGTTGAGCAACTGCGCCCGTGATGGCTGGATTTCGGGCGCGCGACCGTATATTTCGAGCGCCTGTGATGCGCGAGATCCGCTGCGACCGCGAGACCCGCTCGAGGGCGGGGCGACGCGCTGCGCGCGTGATTGCGGCATCGCGCGCGATGGCGAACTCGATCCCGGCGTATCCGGCCCGAACCAATCGACCCCCAAGTCAGCTCCATCTTCTTCGCGCCGACAAGCGCAGAGGCCGATGATGGCGATCGAGAAGTCGTCGACGCGCCCCCCCCCCCCCCGCCCACGGATGCCATCCAGACGCCCTCGGGCTTCGATGCCGCGGCGTCGGCATCATCCGCGCGCGACATCGGATGACCTGAGCGGCTTAGACATGCAAGTTCCTGAATTTCGTGCATGTCAGTCGCGCCACTGGCAGAGCCGCTTTCCCACTGTCGCTCTGCGCACCGCTACCCCCGCTAGCGAAGCTGCTGATCGCGACCCTTTTCTCGCCGACGTCTGCGCGAACGCCGCCGCGTGGGAGCGCTGCGTTTGTCGTGCCAGAGAGAAGCGCCATCTCCTCGAGTTCTACCACACCAGAGCAGCAACGCTCATCAGTCCTGGGAGCCGGCGGCCAGCTGCGCGCGTGGCACTTCGCTTTGAAGGTGATCCAGATCAGCAGCGCATAAACGCAGGCTGCCTTACTTACAGAGGCGCGGGGAGGAGTCTCAGAGTCAGAACGCCCGCGCCCTCTGCTTGATAAATAGCAGTGGCGATCCCCTCGCGAACATCCGCGATGCTGGAGGCGCTGGCGATCCCAGAATTCAATTATCAGATCCAGGTGCCCCACGCGATGACGGCGGGATTTGCCCGGAGTTCGATATTATTGTTAAGGTATCTTATGGGCTTGCCTGCGAGATCAGCGCCGAGCAAATGATCGACGCAAGCGCGCTGGATTCACCTCCTTCGCGGCGCGATGCTTCGCGCCCCCCTGACCGAGCACCAGCGCGTCCGAGACGCCGGCCCCGACGCCGCACCGTGCGTTGAGCGCTCCAAGACGGAAGTGCCCCCGCGCGGGCTTGGGGCCACAGCTCTGAGCAAGGCGACAAACTATGGCGGCGATTTACACGACGCGACCCTGCGCCAGATGAATACCTGCTCCTTGTCGAAGATGGCGCCTGCGAGCACGGGCAAGGCGCGCGCAGTGCGCTGGGAGTCAACTGGACCAGCGCTCGGCAACAGCCGGCTCCATGGGGTGGAGCTGAACGCGAAGGGGCACTGATGCTTGAAGCGGAAGAGAAAGATAATGACTCCGGAGAAAAATCCCGTTCATAATGTTTTTATGGCTGTAGGGCTATATGGGCTATTGGGCTATTGGGCTATAGGGTAATAGAGCTACTGGGCTATAGGGCAATGGGGCTATAGGGTATAGGGCTATGGCGCTATAGGGCTATGCGGCTATAGGGCTATTGAGCTATAAGGCTATAGGGCTATTGGGCTATTGGGCTATAGGGCTGAGCTATTGAACTATAGGGCTATGTAGCTATAGAACTGTAGGGCTATAGGGCTATTGGGCTATAGGGCTATAGGGCACCTCAGGGCACGCCTGGGCACCCGGGCGCCCCCAGGCACCCCCGGGCACCCGGGCACCCGGGCGTGCGGCGAACATCGGCGGCAAACCCAACCTAACCATATGAATCCGCTAGGACCCCTACAGAGGCAAGCTCTGATTGGGGAATCAACGAACGCCTCGCGGGGGGCGCGGAGCGCCCGCATCGCCGCGGTTTTCATCACCACGGTTTTCCTCTCAGGGGGCTCTTCGTCAGAATTGCCGCGTTC